GGGGGGGGAAGAGCAGGGCAGGGTGCCACAGAGCAGCTTCTGAGGGGGGGAGGGAGTCCATGGACAGAGTCTGTTCTGCATCCCATGGAACAGTGTCTGTCTGTAGTGAGCCTGGGCCCACTGCTGACAGAGGCTGCTTTGCAACAGCAACCCCTAGTCATGGGGGAGTTCGAGCTCCCTGTGAACAAAGGCTGCCTTTTGGTAGCAGGCACCCAGTCTGTGTGATGAATTGTTTTTTAAACTGACTCCCCTCGCAGACCAGCACCCATCTGCCATCCTGTGCTGCTGCCTGTGATACAGAGGCAGCAGAGCGGAATGGCAGGGGGCTCCGTGGGAGTGAGGCCAGGAGCACATTGGCTGCTGGCACCCAGGGACTGTCGAATAGTCATGTAGTCGCTATGTTTTCATGCGGTTACATGACTGTTCGGTTACGCTATAACATCCCTAGTTATGTTTTCAAACCAGCACATTTTTGTTTAGAGGGAGCTATTCCCAAGTTTGAAGGATGGCATGGGAGTTTTGCAGATGTTTTCTAACTCATCCCTTTGTAAATCCCTTCATAAAACTATTTTACCATGATGGTACCTGCAAAAAATTGACTCTGGCTAGGCTGCTGATATGCTGAGATCACTGGTCAGCAGGATATGCAGTGTTCTCACTGTTTCCTTGTATTCTCCCATTGGTTTAAGCCTCCTCCCCAAGAGCTGAGTAGTGATTTTTCAGTGGCTACATGGTTACCTATTTAACCAAATTTTAATATTCCTAGTATATACAGTGCCTAGCATAGTGCAGTCCTAGTCCATGGCCTAGGGTTTGTAGGTACTATGATACTGCAAACAATAAATATATTTTAACTTCAGAGTTAAGAATACCAAAGTTGCAAAATGACAAATCAACTACATGTCTCATTTGGAAATAAAATATGTAATCAGGTAGTAGCAGAGACTCCTGTAACTCTTTGCCGGCCTCCCCTTCCCTCCCCTTCTCCCCCCAATAAAAAGTATAGTAGAATATTGTGTTTAAAACATAAACTACTAAAAAGAAGGAAAGCATCATTTTTCTTCCGCATACGCTAATTTTAAAACACTGTTAAGTGTATGTTCAGTTGTCAAACAAAAATTAGTTCTTTCAAAAAATTACATTTTGCATATTTCAGAGTTGCAAACATCATTCATTCCCAAGGCATTCGTGACTCAAGGTTTGCTATAATACGTATGAGTAGTATGCCTAGGTATGTGATGTGCATTTGTAACTGCCATGAATGCAAGTATGAGCTATGTTAGGACATGATTTTTCAGTGTGTAGTTATGTTCAAAAGTCATCGTCCTTTGTGTAAGTTAGGCATTGGGACTCAGACTAGAAGACAGTTCTTTATTTATGCTACTGCTTTCACTTTGCGTCAGACATGTCTCCATGGATGCCAATTTCCAGATCTTCCCTGTCTTTTGGGAAGAGAAAGGAGCAAACAGAGTTAGGAACAAGCTGTATAAGTCACTCACTCAATGCCCATGACCAGGGATACTAGTTTTCTGTGGCCAAACTCCCAAATTCCCCAAATAACCCACAAAAATCTAGATTTTTTTTCAGTAATTAAAATGAATTGCTTAACTTTATTTCTCCATGCCATGGTAAGTGTAAGTATCAGTTGAATACTTTGTTTTCTTGATGTACATTAGAACTCCATTTATCCAGTTCTCCATTATCTGGCTCTTTGATAATTGAAACACCAGCCATCTGGAGCTGGCAGTTGCTGAAACTTGGGCAGCAGCAGGAGCCCCTGCTCTTCTTCAAATAAGGAAAAATAACTCTGCCAATTCTCCTGATTATCTCAATTTTTGATTATCTGATCTGGCCCTCATCCCGATTAGATCAGATAAATGGGATTGCACTGTAAATTTAAAGGATGCTCAAAAATCAGCCATAAGAAGGGGAGGATATGCATGTTAATCGTTGGTATGTGTTTTTTTTTTCCAAAATGTGAAACCTAAAGATTGTTTGTACAGATGCAAATTCTACTTTTTTCTGTGGCAAATGGATTTCTAGAATCCCTGCTTATGACCCAGGGCTTTGTCAGAGTAGTGACTCTTTTGACCAGACAGTTCCTGCACCTAGACCCTAGCAACAGCTGATGAAACAAGCTCAATTCTTTCTCTGATAAATCCATCATTGACTGAGCAGCAGCCAAGATCTTGGGAAAAGAATAAAGTGCAAGTGACTCTGAAATATGAACAAATAATTTAGGGTATGGGTATTAATTGAGAACAAGTTGATTTTAGACCAGTATTTCTTAGAGTTGGCTGCAGAAAGTGGAAAGCCAGTAAGTGGGCCCACGATTCTTTGTTTACCTGAAGGATCCATAGCCACGGAGCTTCATGGCTCCCATTGGCTCCAGTTCACCATTTACAGCCAATTGGAGCCATGTTAAGAATGATGCTTACTGGTTAACCATTCACATCTCTACCTATCATAAAATAAAACTGTATTATTCCTTTTTAACTAAATAATACAACCCTCCCCCCCAATATTTTAAAAAGAAATAGCTTGGGATAATCCATATTCCTAGATACTCCTTTTAATTGTTACCATCTGATGGACTCCACACGTGAATGTCACTAATTTAATACATTCTTGGTCTGAGTGGGAGAACGTTGCTAAGTGAATAAATGTTGTAGGTGCATAGTGAAACAATACGTTTTCCTGTTTAAGAGCAAACTGCATCCAGATGTGCTAAAGCAGTGAGTGAGTTTTGTTCTCCAGTGTAACATTTTTCTCAAGATATTAGCAAAGGTGGAAATAAATACCATAGAACTGAAAATACTTGCTAGATATTGAAGTAATTATGTATATACAGCCAGTCCCCGACTTACGCGGATCCGCCTTATGTCGGATCCGCACTTACGAACGGGGCTTTCTCGCCCCGGAGGTCGAGGTAGCGGATTGCTACCTGCGAGCTCCGGGGCGAGAGAGCCCCGTTCGTAAGCTGCTCTGGTGCCCCTGGTCTGCTGGAGACGGTCTCCAGCAGACCAGGGAGACACGAAGCTAGCGCCAGTTCTGACTTACATACAGATTCAACTTAAGAACCCCAAGTCAGCTGCTGCTGTAACTGATCGGCTCTGATTCCAGGAAGCCTGGGGCAGGGCAACTCTGCCTCGGGCTTCCTGTAGTCAGCGCTGGTCAGTTTCAGCAGCGGCTGACTTGGGGACGCCTGGGGCAGAGCAGCTGGGGTGCTGCTGATTGGTCCTGCAGCGCTGCTCTGGGCACTACTGGACCAACCCGGCAGCACCCCAGCTGCTCTGCCCCAGGTCCTGATTCAGCCGCTGCTGGTCAGTTTCAGCAGCGGCTGACTTGGGGACGCCTGGGGCAGAGCAGCTGGGGTGCTGCTGATTGGTCCTGCAGCGCTGCTCTGGGCACTACTGGACCAACCCGGCAGCACCCCAGCTGCTCTGCCCCAGGTCCTGATTCAGCCGCTGCTGGTCAGTTTCAGCAGCGGCTGACTTGGGGACGCCTGGGGCAGAGCAGCTGGGGTGCTGCTGATTGGTCCTGCAGCGCTGCTCTGGGCACTACTGGACCAACCCGGCAGCACCCCAGCTGCTCTGCCCCAGGTCCTGATTCAGCCGCTGCTGGTCAGTTTCAGCAGCGGCTGACTTGGGGACGCCTGGGGCAGAGCAGCTGGGGTGCTGCTGATTGGTCCTGCAGCGCTGCTCTGGGCACTACTGGACCAACCCGGCAGCACCCCAGCTGCTCTGCTCCAGGATCCAAAACAAAAGCCTGGTCTGCTGGAGGGAAGCAGCTAGTGCGGGGTTGCCTCACCCCGTTTGTAAGTAGGGATCTGATGTAAGTCGGATCCACGTAACCCGGGGACTGCCTGTATAAATGTTTAGTAAGAATCTAAAACAGCAAAACATTAAACAGATTTCACTGGCAGAGACTTCCTTAACTAAATAAGAACTGATGATGATACAATATTTAGGGACCCCTTCACCAAAATAACCCGCAACCTGTTTTCTCTTTAAAGGGGGAAAAAAAATCAGAAATCTACCTCCTGCATGGATGCAATCTGTATAACTTTTGTACAGTAACTAGGTTTCAGTGTAGGAAACCTAATCCCTTGGAACATTCACGGTCATAGACAAAACAATATAACCTCTTGCAGGGAATTATCTTTCATTGATAAAGAGGTGGATGACTAAAGTATTTTCCGTTACTAAAAATCCACATCCTGCTTAAATCTTTGAACAACATACATAACTCAATGTTCATAATTGTTTTAAACTGTTCTATAATCTCTCTCTCTTACAGATACCTTGCTTATGTGGCAGTGCACCATGTCTACTGTGCCGATGCTGCCCCAGTGGAAACAACTCCACCATAACTAGGCTAATTTATGCTTTCTTCTTGCTGCTTGGTGTGGGTGTTGCCTGTGTAATGCTAATGCCAGGAATGGAGGAGCAGCTGAAGAAGGTCATTACTTTTCTGTTATAATGTTTTGGTAGAACAGATGTTGCAAAATAGTGAACTGACACCATGAAAGAATGTGACTCGATGCTGTGAAGTACTTGCTTTGCTACTGGTAAACATACTTGTAATATTATTTGGCATCATCAGATAATCTTACAAGTTCTGTTTAAATATAAAACCTTGGAAGAAGTTACTTGGTATACAGTTGTCATAGATATTAAGCAGCAATCTTCAGAAGTAAAATTGGGTCTTTTGAATTACTAATTAGGTCCAAGTGCTGCTCCAACACAACACGTTTGTATGTAGGATAATACATTTTCTAGTTTCATTGGGTTCTGTTTATATATTCACAGATTTAAAAGCTAAAATTTAGCAAAGTGAAAGTGTTTCTTAAATGACACATTTTTCCCCATTAGCAAAAAATGTAATCGCACTGCAATTCAAATAATTAAGACTTCTTTCTAATATAGCTTCCTGTAGTTACATCAAAGAACACCAAACTGTGGGGCAGGTCACCTCCCTTGAGGTGGAGGTTTGAGAAACATGGGGGAGAGGCAGTGGCATTGCAAGGTCCAGTTCACCTCTGGTTCAGCACTTGTCCCTTTCCCTAGCCTTGGTGCACTTCCGCTTCCGCTCTAGCATCAGCCACTGGCCTTGACTCCTTTCTCGGCTGAGGTGGGCGATGAGGCCAGGAGTGGAGCCACACTTAGCCAGCAGCTGGGCCACAACCCTTCCACAGTGTGGCTGCAGGTCTGCCCCAACCAAGGCTCTAGACCAACTCCAATCTTGGCCCCCTTATCTCTGTTGTGGATAAGGACAATGGGGTGTGACTCTCCAGAGTTTGGGGAACCACTGAGTTACATAAGGAATTGATCCTAGTATCCTTCATTTTGTTGAATCTTAGTTTTCCCAATTAAATGTTACACTCCTTAACCAACATCAGAAGTACATTTTGTGGTCTTATCCTGTGTTAGGGTATTTATAAACACTTTGTGTTGGAAGATTAAACATCTTAGAACTTGTGGTTAATATGGTTTTACCCTTGGGAAACATATAGTCTTGTAAAGCATGGCTGTCAGGAGGTACATCAGATTTTAATGAGTTCTGATATGAACAGAAACAGATATGATCAGCTGTATTTTGTAGAGTTGTCCCTTGTACTTTGCGCTTAATTGACTGCAGTGCGTTTTGGAGGCTTTTATTTTTTGTCTCCACATAGACCTAAAGAGCCTGCCTTTTTGTTTTATCTCCTTCATAATTGTCATCAAAAGGATATGTGACTCTGAGGCTGTTTGTTAGTGTTTCTTCAGATCAGCAAATGGAACTCAAGATTCTTTGAGTCCCAAAAAATTGATGATGGCTCAGTTGTGTTGTCCGAGTTCTCTTGATTATATATATTAGGGATGTAAATATTGATTGAAACAGCTAGCCAGTTAACCTGTTAAATATTTTAACTTTGGGTCCCATCAGGGCTGGGGTTCTACTGGGTCTGTGAGGCAAGTGTGGGGGTCAACCTATCCACCCTAGGGGCCATTTCCGTGCACCATGGGGCCACTCTGATGGTAGGGCCATGCTCCTGTCTCTTTGCCAAGGGGCCACTCTGATGTGGCCAGGCCAGGGTCTTGCCTCCCAGACCAATACAGAGGCAGCTGGAGTCCTATCCGAAAGCCAGGGCAGGTCCCACACAACTGTGGCCAGGGTCCTGCCTGCTCCCCTAGCACTGCCACTGTCCCACCAGCAGGCCCAACACAGCTAGTACTGATATGGCCTAACTGGCTGGCTGTCCACTGAGGTTTGGGAAAGCTCGGGTTAACCAGGTATCTTGTAAGCATTCTAGTAAGCCTAATGCTTACTGGGTAACTAGTTAACCAGTTAAATTTTTACATTGCTTGTGTGTTTGTGGTTTTTATTATTCTAACCCACACACTAAATTAATTCTTTTTAAGACAAACCTAATCTGTCTAATGAACTAATTCATGAAGTTATGCAATGTCATCTTTTAAGTGACATATTGTGGTGTACATTTTGCAACTTATTAATAAAATGAACAATATATATTTCTTCATTGGAAGCATTTTAGAGATCACTGAAACATTTTGTGTTAATCAATTATAGATTCCTGGATTCTGTGATGGAGGGATTGGAACAACTATTCCTGGTGTACATGGCCATGTGAATTGTGATGTCTTAGTTGGATACAAAGCAGTATACCGTGTGTGCTTTGGTATGGCTATGTTCTTCCTTCTGTTCTCTTTGTTGATGATCAAAGTGAAGAGCAGCAGTGATCCAAGAGCAGCAGTACACAATGGGTAAGACATGAGAACCACAGCTGTTTGGTGTGTATCTCTGATATAGTTACTTGTGGAAATAATAACCAACACACACATGCTCAGATTGACTGTGCTATGAAAAAAGAATTCTTTATGAGCCTGCATTATACTTCCACATGGTAAAGTATTTTTTACTGTATTAAACTAGTGTTTGTGAGGGAGGGAGATGTGATCAGAACCCTTTCAGAATTTGATTAGAATCATAGAGCTGGAAGAGACTTCAGGAGGTCAACCAGTCCAGCCCCCTGCCCAAGGCAGGACCAATCCGAACTATTGGTCAGCTATTGTAATTTGCCAAAAGTAGGGATGTAAGAGAGTAGTCGACTACACGATAAGCTTAAGCTTTTTGGGTAGTCTACCCACATTCTTCTTTCCCCCTCCCTGCTGCCTCTATCAGAGGCAGCGGGGGGAGAGGGGGCGGGCAGAGGGGGGCAGGACCTGGAGTTGGCTTAAAAGCTGGCTCTCCACAGCACTTTCTCTGCCCCTACCTCCACTGCCTCTGCTTCTTGGACAGTAGCCCTTGTCCTCTGGGGATCCCAACTTCCTGCTGGAACTCTCCGCAGACAGAGGCTGCAGTGAAGCAGCCCCTCTCTGCAGGGGTCCCAGTGGAGAGCTAGAGCTCCTCAGTGGATGGGGGCTGCTACCAGCTGGGCAGGTAGCCCCGCTTAGTGCTGGCTTGCGCCAGGACCAAACCCCACTGCAGCTCTGCAATTTAAAAGGCAGTAGGAGCTAGAACATTGCATACCCCTTCCTACTGCTCTACCCCATCCCTCTTCAGGGACCACTCTCACAAAACACTTCTCCAACTGGAAGTACAACATCTCCTACATTTAGAAACAATATGGATAGTGCTACCACAGTTTACCAGAGTGGTTTTCATTCTCATCACTTCCTCACAAAGAAGTAGTCGGGTAGATGGGGACCCATTTTCAATTTGTGAGCATTGAATACATTTCTAAAAAACCAGCAGTTCAAGATGGTGATGCTTGCTACCATTATTCCAGCATTGGGACAGGGTAATTGGTTTTCATCTCGACTTGCAGGATACATACTTCCCCATTTCTGTCCATCCAGCTGATAGATGTTTTCTTCATTTTGTTCTAGGTTCTATAGGACTATAACAAGGTTTAAAAGAGAACTAGATAAATTCATGGAGGGTTCAGCGAGCCCTGGCTATTAGCCAGGCTGGGTAAAGAATGGTGTCCCTACCCTCTGTCAGAGGATGGAGATGGATGGCAAGAGAGAGAGAGAGCTTGATGGTTACCTGTTCAGTTCACTCCCTCTGGGGCACCTGGTATTGGCCACTGTCAGCAGACAGGATACTGGACTGGATGGACCTTTGGACTGACCCAGTATGGCCATTCTTATGTACTTACTATGTTTTAAACTGCAGAGTCTCAGTGGGGTTTGGTCCCAGTGCGAGCTGGGACTTAGCGGGGCTGTCTTTCCCCAATCAGGTAGTGGATAGGATTTTTATCGACTACATGATTACTAAAATAACCTCAATTTAACACCCCTTGTCAAAAGATGTCTTCAAATTAAAGTTGTTTCCACTCCATTCAAGACGAATAAGATTCCAGGATGCCTGATAATTTTCAGTCTAATTCAGCGATGGAAGACTTAAACTTAAGATTACAGTGGAGACTTAAACTCTTTATTTTGTTGCTAGGACCTTGACTTCCCTCACTATTTGGATACCTTGGGACATTTAGCTGAACAATGCAGACTCCTCTAAATGTACTTTAGGATACATTTAGCCCCTGGGAGCTAACCCAGCTGCAGCTCTGCATTTTAATTGTACCCTACAGCACAGAGCAAAAATGGGGGTAGCTTCCAGAGCTGGCATGGCTCTGGAACCGCTGCCGTCCTTGTCTCCTCCATGCCGCAGAGACAGTGCTGGAGGGAACTGGCTCTTAAGCTAGCTCTCTTCTCTTTCCCCCCCCCCCCTTCCCCTAGCATGCTGCCTCTGCCTGAGGTGGGAAGGGGGAAGCGAGTAGCCAACTTGACTTATCATGTAGTCATTACATGGTTGACTACTTACATCCTTAATACAGAGTTTATGGTGGTCACTTTATTTTTTTTAGTAGAAAATTTAACCAGTGTTGCTTGGGTCCTTAACTCAATTTTTTGTTTGGTTTTTCTTCTTCTTCATTTAAGTCTTCGCTGGGGGTTGGAGCTAGAGATCTGGGGTTGAGTATGCAGGCTTCCCCACAGGGAGAGGACATCTCCAATCCTCTGTCACTTCAGCAAGTTGGAGCTAGGTGAGCGGCGCCTCCACATGGACGCTGCAGCAGACACAGTCTGGGGAGGGTTGCATGCCCCTCAGCTGAGGGACAGACAGACACACATACAGACAAAATCTCTCAAATATATAGTATAGAGCTGTCCCTTTCTCTACTCCTGTCTTAAGGATGTTAAGGACTAGTCGACTATCTGATAATCAAATGCTTATCAGCTAGTCAAGTCGACTAGTCTCCCCCCCCCCCCCCCCCCCCCATCAGATAGAGGCAGCAAAGGGTGGGGGAAGAGGCGGTACTTCAAAGCAGCAGTGCCACACAGAGCCCGGGCTTCATATGGTGCTGTCACTTTGAAATGCTGCAGCAGTGTTTGCGTGGAGCCCGTGGAAATGCCTTGCAGAGCCCTGGATCAGCTGGAGTGTCCCCGGCTGCCCCCAGGCTCTGCAGTGGCATTTCAAAGCGGCAGTGCAACAAATACCCCACTGACCCCAGGTTCTGTGTGGGTGCTTCCACTGGGGACTCTTATACATTTCAAAGCTGACACGCCATGTGCAGCCCGGAGTCAGCAGGACTTCCCACTGGTCCTGTTCTGCATTCTTCCTTTGAAATGTACAAGAGCCCCAACAGGGGCTCTTGTGCATTTCAAAGGAGGAATTCGGAAGTGCCTATGGAGCAGTCAATGAAAATTCCATCAATTACTCCAGTAGTAAATTGCTCGATATTTAACATCCTTACTTCTGTCCCCTGCGATTTGGGAGTTATAGCTGCCCCTTGGGAGTTATAGCTGTGCCAATACCCATCTCTGGCTCCTTGCTGCCTCCCTGTGGTCATTATACAGTATAAGTACTTCTAGCAGACCCCTTCCTTTCTGTTTTATGAGAAACAGTCACATTCCAGGCACAACCCATTGACGGCAAAACCAAACTTTTTAAAGTTATAAGCCAGCGTTGCATACCTAGCTCTTGCCTTTTAGTTCTTGAACAAATGGTCTCTCAGACACACGTTTCTAAAATCTGTAGTAAGATTATAAATATTTAGATTTGTAAAAATAAAATAAATGGTATTTTTCAATTCATCTAATGCAAGTGCTACAGGTTCGACTCACCCTGGTCTAGCACCCTCGGGATTTGGCTAGTTCTGAATGAAGGGACTTGTCAGACCAGGGGAGGCCCCTGTCATTGGTCTCCCAGCCTGCCACTCCTCCTTACTGCCAGTTACAGTTAACCAGTAGGGGTTGGAGTGGCCCCTCCATCAGTTAACACAACTGTTTAGGGACGTCAAGTCTCGTTTACTTGTCAAAACTCTTCCCTTGATGTGCTCACTGCAGAAGATCATTTAATGAGTTGTATCTCCTGTGTTCTGCAGGAGCAGTTAATGAATATGTTTCTCAGAATGCAAAAACAAGGAAGCAAAGATGATGCATTTGAAATGCAAGCTAAAATAGGCAAGCTTTAAATCCTGTCACTTCAGATAATTAATTTTCATGTACATTGTGCTCTTTCAAGTGCTTATAAAATACATTGGTTATGGGAACACAAATGCAGATTGAAGTTCATTACCTTAAACCCCTTGATCTTTTGTTTCTGATTTCTTCAGATTCTGGTTCTTCAAATTTGCTATAGCAGTAGCAATTAACGTTGGAGCTTTTTTCATCCCAGAGGGACCGTTTACAACTGGTAAGAACATTGAATTAAATCTTATTCATGTGATTCAATTATAGTGTGACTTATTTTAGAATAACCACCTGTAAATGTAGCTGCAAATAATCTCTCACAATTGTTCCCCTTCCTCTCCCCCCCCCCCCCCCCCCCATTTGTAGGAAGTAAAAAATTAAGAGTGAGCAGTAAAATTTCTAGTGCTCTGAATTTATTGCATCTGATTTTTTTCTTTACAGTATGGTTTTATGTCGGCATGGCTGGGGCCTTCTGCTTCATTCTTATTCAGCTGGTCTTGCTTATTGACTTTGCTCACTCTTGGAATGAATCTTGGGTTGAAAAAATGGAGGAGGGAAATTCAAGATGCTGGTATGCAGGTAACAGAACTTTTATTCCATTTCAGAGGGCATTGTTGAGAACCTAGTGGAGGTGAGATGTAGTATAGTGTATAATACCATTTAGCCAAGACTATAATGTACAGAAGAGATTTTGTTTTCTGGGGGGGCAGGAATAGCTCAGGTTTGAGCATTGGCCTGCTAACCCAGGGTTGTGAGTTCAATCCTTGAAGGGGCCATTTAGGGATCTGGGGCAAATCTGTCAGGGATGGTACTTGGTCCTGCTGTGAGGGCAAGGGACTGGACTCAATGACCTCTCAAGGTCCCTTACACCATCTCACAGAACTGGATCTCCATATATCATATTATTAAGTAGTATTTCCTCTCATTCCATAAAATCCAGCTCTACTGTTTATGGTATAGTTGGATTTTTACTTGGCAGCAAATAACTTCTCAGTAAGCAAATGTAACCCAAAAAAAATCTACATTGGTGCAGAGGTCAGCGCTAACTATGAAACCTTATATATTCCCTTTTTAACTCCTACTCCGTGACTTTCAGTACTTCACTACTCTGTTTAGTGACCACAAATATGGGCCATATGTGGCACATTGGGGTTCTATGCGTAGCCCATAAGACCTTTTATTTACTATTGCATATGTGCAGGATTTCCAGATTCTGCTGGTTTCTGCACTTTAAGGGCATGTGAAGTGAGATGCATACTGATTGCACACACTGTCAGAGCTGTACACTCCCTCTGAACTGTATCGCTGCTTTGATTGGGTGCAGACAGCAAACTGCAAATTCTATGTACACAAGTGCAGTTAACAAAACTATCCTATCAGGGGAGACTTTTGGTTACAACAGTCTTGTGGTCCACTGAGATGGAGAGCCACTCATGTGGCCCTCTCACTATAGCTAAAGCTGCTCCCTATCACAACTATAATTTTTTTTCTGTGAGTGTCTCCCCTTTGCCTCTCAGGATATGTATAGTGAGTGATGCAAAATAGAGAATATGGTTAAAATTCCTGCACTAGAGTAATGAGATTGTAATAGGTGATCATAAATCTTAAGTTTTGTTCATTTTAGAAATCAAAAATGGCCTAGTAAGCTAGTTTCCTGATTGCCTGGCAAGTCCGCTTTTTGAAAATGTGGTTGTCTTTTTTTTTTTTTTTTTTGTAGAATTTTGGGGGAGGGAAAAAAAAAAAGAATTTTACAAAAATATGTTGAATAAGTTTATTGAGAAATAAGCTGCTTATAAATGTCTCTCCATAGCTCCAGATTTTGTTGTTGTTTTTAATTTGGGGACAATGCTGTTAACCTCTGACATCCTTACTTTGACTGGTTTCCTGGTAAGTGTTAGGCTTACCAGGTAACTGGGTGGCCAACTAACCATGCCAGGCTGGAGCAGCCCTGACTGTTGTGCCTGCTTCAGTCCAGTGGGACCCTGGCTCTGGTTGTGCCAGAGCAGCTCCAGGGGGCTGGCAGGATCCCCAGGCTGGGCAGCTTGGAGTAGCCTGCATAGGACTCTAGCCCTGGCTGCTCTGAGTTGGCCTGGGGTGGTCAGCAGGATCCTGGCCCTAGCCACCCTAAGCAGGTAGCCCCTGGCCCCTGGCTGCTGTCTGCCAGTGGTTAAACAGTAGTATTGTAATAGGTTAACCAATTAACAATTTTTCATGGTTATTTACATTCCTAAATCAGATTTCCTTAGATACATTGCTACAGGTTTGCTTATCTTGCTTTTAACCAACTCCTCGGCAAACAAGCCTGTACAAATAATACCCACTTGAAATATCTGAGCATAACTAAAGCCTCAGGTTTCCCTCTGATGGGGTGATTTATCTTTGATAGCAGAACTTTGAGGCATCAGGCAGAATCAGGACCCCGTTGTGCTAAATGCTATTACAACAAAGTAAAACATTATTACTGACCTAAGGATTTTCTCATTTCATGTTTTAAGAAAAACCCTTTTCTTTTAAGTTTTATTGTTTCTTTTTGGTGTCCATAACTATCATCCGATAGCTTTGTGGATTCTTAATGTAGCAGCACAATCATAAGGTACTCTTTAAAGCTTAATAACTTATACTTTTTTAAATGCAAACTTAATTGCCTTGTTTGTCTCTCCTCACAGCTCTGCTGTCAGCTACAGCTCTAAATTACCTGCTGTCTCTAGTTGCTGTTGTCTTATTTTACGTTTATTACACTCATCCAGAAGGCTGCTCTGAAAATAAGGCATTCATCAGTGTTAATATGTTGCTGTGTATTGGCGCCTCTGTAATGTCAATTCTGCCTAAGATCCAGGTATGCTATGTTGTTGAATTTTTTTTTTTTTTTTTTTTTTAAATTCAGAAGCATCTCTCTAACATTTTAACCGTGGACATTTTGTTAGCTGCCCAATTGAATTTTCTTCATGACTCTTTCATGTAGGAATCTCAGCCAAGATCTGGTTTGTTGCAGTCTTCAGTGATCACGGTTTATACAATGTATTTAACCTGGTCAGCTATGACCAATGAACCAGGTAAGCCTGTCAGACTTACATTTTTCTAAAAGGCTTTAGTCTTTTGTAAAGATGAAGTAGTTCCTTTGTAAAGCTGTTCAAAATGGTAAATGACAGGAGGGAAGAAGATTCTAGATTGAGAAGAAACTGTTATGTCATAGTCTCTTTCTGCCTACAATACACCAAAATCCATAACTTCATATTTCTCATATTTGGGAAACCTATTTCATAGATATGTAAGGTTCGAAGGGATCCATGCACTGAAGTAGGATTAAATATACTTACACCAGCCCTCTCAGGCATTTTTCTAACTTAGTCATAAACAGGGATTCCGTGACCCCTTTAGGTGACTAGTCCTTATCTATGCTTGAGAGAGGATTTTCCTAAAACTTTTAGTAAAATTCAATCTCTTTTGCTGTAAAGGAAGCACGTACATTGCCTTGAAAATAAAACAATATCTGAACACGTAATGAAAGACTATCATGCATAAGGGCAGTTAAGGTTCAGGGCTTTTTCATTTCCTGACTTTCCAGAACTTTATTTTTCATCCTTAATATTCTTTTCGTGTGAAGCAGAGAGATGTATGGGATTTCCTACTGTTCTTAAAAACAAACACAAATTCTGTCATATTCAACTCTGCTAGATACCATGAAAACACAGTACTGTGCAGTATGTACAGTCAGCCAGGACACTTCAGTCCATGCATTACTTTCTATATCTTATTTCTGAACAATTTTTCCTTTCCTTATGTCCCTATTCTGTATTATGTGGAAGGATGTAGGACTCACTACAGATGTTTTGTGAGAGAATAGGAACACCAAGAGATCATTGGCTAACTGTTAAGAGATCATTTACATGCACATTGGAAAATTCTTTTAAAAACAAACACTAAACTTACAGAACACTAGATGGCCTCTCTTCCTGGCAAACTTTAAGTTCCTACTTCAAACCACGTAGGTACTTCAACTGTTTAAAAAAGTGTCATTCTGTATATAATCGATTAAGTGCAAGGGTGATATGTTCTTTTCAGTTTGAAACGACTGAATTCTCTTTGCTCAAAGACCCAAAAATCCCACTGTAGACAAAAACTTGAAAATCTGCCAATTATTAGCCTGTAAGGTTAAAAAAAAAATCTTTGCAAGCTTTATAATTTAATCTTAACTATACAGGTATTACTTTGTGTTTCACTTGTGTTGCTGCCATTCAGAGACCCTGGTCATGGGTTATAACAGCAATAATTACAGGAAAGTAGGAGCATATCACTTAGGTTTCTCTCCTCTCTTTTCAGTGTACACTGCTGTTTGATATATTTTAAAAGCTCAGCTATATTTATGTGGCATTCTTTCATGTAGCTTAAGTCTTCATGGTGTTCAAGCTTAAGCAGGGAGGAGAAAGAGTTGGGAGGGGGTGCGAATCAACTGATTCATGATGCTTTGGAAGTGCTGGTAGGAAAGGGGAGCAAGGGACAGAAGCCAGGGTGTGCGCAGGCCTCCAGATAGAACCCTGACGATCCACATGTTTCCCACCACTGGTGAAGACCCTGCAAGCCTGCATTACAAGTTCCCTCATGCATTTTAACATAGTGCAACCTAGTGTAAACATGTTCAGGTACACTAGGGAACTTATGATGCATGCCAAGAGGGTCTACACAGATCTATTATTATGCAACACAACAGTGCATTTTAGAAACTACACTCCCCAAGCACATACAAATATTGCTCTTTGCAAATAACCCCTAAATGATGGTTGTGTTTAGCTGCTGGTAATGTAACATTTTAGGAATGCTGGAAAAAATGCAATACATTTTTGCCACAGTTCAGTAAAGGAATGTAACAGTAGGATCAATAAACAACTTTATACATCTTTTTTTAACACAGACATGTTAACTTGAGAGTATTTCTCTTTGTGTCCCTAATACCTACTAGGAATGTTAAGGACTAGTCAACTATCCAATTAGCAAATGCTTATCGGATAGTTGACAGGATAGTAGACTAGTCGCTTCCCTCTCCTTGCTGCCTCTATCTGATAGAGGCGGCAAACTGGTGGGGAGAAGGGGTGGGAGGGGCGGGTACTGAAAAACTGCAATGCTGCACAGAGCCCAGGGGACTCTCCTGCTGATTCTGGGCTCCATGCAGCACTGCTGCTTTGAAACGCCACAGCAACGTTTCAAAGGGGAAGTGTCGCCTCTCGACTAATCGAGTGGTTAATGCAAAAATGCATTGCCTGTTTGATTAGTCAATTGCTCGATACCGTAATACCTACCTTGTATTTACATGACATCGCTAGCTTGCTTTACTTTTTTTTGTCTTATCCATGCTCTTTATTGAGTCAGGGTTTTTTTTATTTGAAGAAGTTTTGAACTTGTGAAACATTTGCATTTACATTGGACATGAAAATTCCTTGTATTGTTTTGTGTACAGTGTGGAAATCAAAAATACTTTGAATATCTGTTTGCCCTGTTCCTGTTTAATTTCTAATCTTCTTCCCAAATTAGAAAGGAAATGCAATCCAAGCTTGCTGAGCATAATTGGCTACAACTCTACCACTGTTCCAAGACAAGGTCAGGTTGTCCAGTGGTGGGATGCACAAGGAATTGTAGGACTTATCCTCTTTTTGCTGTGTGTTCTGTATTCAAGGTGAGATGAATTCATTAGGATTTAGGTGGCTTTTGCTACTGCTAATGATCAGATTACTAAAATTAGATTTTTATTTTGATAACGTTCTGTATTCATTTCCCTGAAACACAGCATCCGGACATCTAGTAACAGTCAGGTTAACAAACTGACGTTAACTAGTGATGAATCAACATTGATAGAAGATGGAGTACCCAGAACTGATGGCTCTTTGGATGATGGAGATGATGCCCATCGTGCTGTAGATAATGAAAGAGATGGAGTTACTTACAGTTATTCCTTCTTTCACTTCATGCTTTTCCTGGCCTCACTGTATATCATGATGACCCTCACCAACTGGTACAGGTACATACGTTTCAGATGTTGCGCTATAATGAACGTGCAAGATATTACAAGATATTTGGGATTCAAGTTATATTTTCAGATGTCTTGAGAGATGCATCCTTTGGTACATGTACTGGGTGACAGGAATTCTCAGAGTGTAGCATTTATTACTATGTAAGAAACGAATTTGTAGTTTAAAAACTAAGCTCTTTTCAATGACCACTGCCACTAAATAAGTGAGAGGTTATAGCAACCTTAATTTCAGTGGAATAGTCCCATTCTGTTCACTCCATCTGGGGCATCTGGCACTGGGCTAGATGGACTTTTGGTTTGACCCAGTATAGGTTCTTTTGAATCAATGAAACACCTTTTGCAGTAAGTTACTACCTGAATAAGGATGGCACAGCCTCATTTATCTTGTGACTGACTCTTTGAGAACAAAAGAAATCTTTTGTTGAAAAACAAGTGAAATTGTAAACTGGTATGTGCAGTTGTCTAAATATTTGTCTTGGGTTCTGCAGAATTCTTAGAATTAAAAAGTGGTGTGTGTATGTTTAAAAAGGAAAAAAATGGAACACAAACATACAATCTGTAAATTTAATGCTAAGGAAAAGAGTAGGAAGAGACAGAATGAAGATTATAAATATGTGTATAAGGAAATAGTATATATTCTAAAATTTCATTGCAATGGGGGGGAGGGTATTTTGTGAATGACAGGGTAATTACTTGATCAACAGGCTCCGTCATGGAATCATAGAACACTAGAACTGGAAGGGACCTTGGGAGGTCAAGTCCAGTCCCCTGCCCTCAAGGCAGCACAATCTATATCATCCCTGATAGATGTCTATCCAACCTGCTCTTAAATATCTCCAGTGATAAGAGATTCCACAACCTCCCTAGGTAATTGATTCCAGTGTTTCACCACCCTGACACCTAGGTAGCTTTTCCTAATGTCCAACCTAAACTTCCCTTGGTCCAATTTAAGCCCACTGCTGCTTGTCCTATCATCAGAGGCTAAGGAGAACAATTTTTCTCCCTCCTCCTTGTAATACCCTTTTAGATACCTGAAAACTGCTATCATGTCCCCTCTCGGTCTTCTCTTTCCAAACTAAACAAACCCAATTCTTTCAGTCTTCCATCATAGGTCATGTTCTCTAGACTTTCAGTCGTTCTTGTTGCTCTTCTCTGGACCTTCTCCAGTTTCTCCACATCTTTCTTGGAATGTGATGTTCAGAACTGGACACAGTACTCCGAGGTCTAATCAGCACAGACTGTGACTTCTCATGTTTAGCTTACAACACTCCTGTTAATGCATCCTAGATGTTTGGTGGGGGGTTTTGGGAAGTGGGGGTAGAGGGAGGAGGTTTGCAACAGTGTCACCCTTTGATTAGTATCAGAGGGGTAGCCGTGTTAGTCTGAATCTGCAAAAGCGTCTGACGAAGTGGGTCTTTGCCCACGAAAGCTTATGCTCCTACACTTCAGTTAGTCTATAAGGTGCCACAGGACTCCTCGTCACCCTTTGATTAATTTAGCTTGTGGTCCACTATGACTCCTAGACCCCTTTCTGCAGTACTCCTTCCTAGACAGTCGCTTCCCATTCTGTATGTGTGAAACTGATTATTCCTTCCTAAGAGGAATACTTTGCATGCGTCCTTATTAAACATCATCCTGTTTACCTCAGACCATTTCTCCAGTTTTTCCAGATCATTTTGAATTATGACCCTATCCTCCAAAGCACTTGCAATCCCTCCCACTTTGGTATCATCTGCAGACTTAATAAACGTACTCTCTATGCCAATATCTAAATCATTGAAGACATTGAACAGAACCAATCCCAAAACAGACCCTGCGGAACCCTGCTTGATATGCCCTTCCAACATGACTGTGAATCATTCATAACTACTTTCTGAAAACAGTTAGCCAGCCAGTTATGCATCCACCTTATAGTAGCACCATCTAGGTTGTATTTCTCTAATTTATTGATTAAAAAGGTTGTGCGAAACCATATCAAATGCTTTACTAAAGTCTAGGTATACCTCATCCACCACTTCTCCCTTATCTGCAAGACTTGTTATCCTGTCAAAGAAAGCTATCAGATTTGTAAAGAACCAATCATGTCAAACCAATTCATTCTGGCTGTTACCTATCGCTTTATCTTCCAGATAAATAATTCCTTAATTATTTGCTCCATTATCTTTCCTGGCACAGAAGTTAAACTAACTGGTCTGTAGTTTCCTGGGTTGTTATTTCCCTTTTTATAGATGGGCACTATATTTGCCCTTTTCCAGTCTTCTGGAATCTTTCCTATCTTCCATTGCTTTTTTCAAAGATGATAGGTAAAGGCTCAGATACCACCTCTATCAGCTCCTTGAGTATTCTAGGATGCATTTCATCAGGCCCTGGTGACTTGCAGGCATCTAACTTTTCTAAGTGATTTTTCACTTGTTCTTTTTTTTAATTTTAACTTTTAATCCTACCACTCACCGTTAGGCATCCCGTCACCATGTTTTGTCATAGTCTTGACAAAAACTGAAACAAAGAAGTCATTAAGCACCTCTGCCATTTCCAGGTTTCCTGTTATTTCTCCCTCTTCAATGGGCCTATCCTGTCCTTGATCGTCGTCTTGCTTCTAATATATTTGTAAAATGTCATCTTGTTACTCTTTGTCTCTAGCTTGTTTGAGGTAGTTTGTGCCTTTACTTTTCTAACCTTTCCCCTGCATACTTGCGCTATTTGCCAATATTCATCCTTTGTAATTTGACTTAGTTTCCACTTATTACATGATCTAAAAATCAAAAAGATCTCCTGGTTAATCCAAGGTGGTCTCTTGCCATACTTTCTATCTTTTCCTATGCAGCGGAGTAGTTTGCTTTTGGGCCCTTAATAATGTCCCTTTGAAAAAATGCCGAGACTCTTCTGTTTTTTCCTCTTAGTTTTGCTTCCTATGGGACCTTACCTACCAGCTCTGAGTTTACTAAAATCTGCCTTCCATTGTCCTTATTTAGCTGTTCTCTTTTCTACCATTCCTTAGAATCATGAACTGTATGATTTCATGATCACCTTCACCCAAGCTGCCTTCCACTTTCACATATTCAACCAGTTCCTCCCTGTTTGTGAAAATCCAATCTGGAACAGCTTCTCCTTTAGTAGCTTTCTCAACATTCTGAAATAAAAATTTGTCTCCCAATGCAGTCCAAGAACTTATTGGATAATCTGTGCCCTGCTGTGTTAGTTTCCCAACATGTGTCTGGATAGTTGAAATCCCCCATCACCACCAAATCCTGCTCTTTGGATGACTGTTAGTTGTTTAAAAAAAGCCTCATCCACCTCTTCTGCTTGAGTAGGTAGTCTGTAGTAGACCCTAGCATGACATCACGTTGGCTTTTTCCCCTTTTTAACCTAACCCACAGTCTCTCAAGTCTGTCTCGTATGTCCATCTCAACCTCAGTACAATGTATTCATTTTTAATATATAAGGGAACACCTTCTACCTTTTTTCCCTGCCTGTCCTCCTTGAGCAAGCTGTACCCTTCTATACCAGTATTCCAATCGGGTGTATTATTCTACCAAGTATCTTTGATAGCATCTGTCATAGTTCCGGGTTTTTTTTTCCTGCTTATTCCCCCTACTTGCATTTGTATACAGGCATCTAAGATTTGATTTCTGCCCTCCAGTTCTGCCTTGTCCCTCCTGTATCTCTGCTATTATAACCCATGCTCCCTCCCATTTCTGACCCATCTCCCAGATCTCCATGTTATTCACTTACTGGTGGGTTTTGGCCACCTGCCCCCACTGATTCTAGTTTAAAGCCCTTCTCACTAGGTTCGCTAGTCTGAATCCAAATACTTTCTTTCCCTTCCTCCAAAAGGTGAACTCCTCCCTACTTAGCAGTCCTTCTTGGAACAGCATCCCATGTTCAAGGAAGCCAAAGCCCTCCTGGTGACACCATCTTTGCAACCAGGCATTCACCTCTAGAATGCACCTATCTCTGCCTGGGCCCCTACCTTTGACAGGATATATAATGTAAAAGTAATAATTAACAGAGCTCGACAAACCACTGTTTCTACTCGCCTGTGGTGAGTAGATTTCAGCCAGTCGCTCCGTGCGCCCCATTCACCGGTGCTGCGTACATGTGAAGTGCCAGTCTGGCACGTGGGGCTGGCGAGTAGCTCTTGCCACAGTTTGTTGAGCCCTGATAATTAAGATTGTATAAGAACAGCGAAGAGAAACTTTAAAAAAAATAACTTGCAGTAGAGTCCTACTTTTGGTATCTGTTCCTACTCTTATGGTGGGCTTGCTTTGGCTTACCCCAAACAGTTCAACATCTTTGAAGACTGTTTTGAAAGGGGCAAAAGCCTACATTATTGGTGTTCAGGCAGTAAATGCCACTCGGGTCTTGTCTTTCCAGATATGATTACGAGTTCCTTGCAGGTATGTTTGCATTTGTGCCTGGTTCACTTTTTGCACTAGTTTGACTGGCTTGCTACATTATATATCCTCTTACACCCCAGTGACATTTTCTTAACTATTACTTTCAAGGTTGGACTGTTTGCCCCATGTCTCTGGACTTATTCGCTTCTATTGGCTTTGTTTATATTTTTGCTGGATTTTTTTTTTTTTAAGTATGGGAAATCTTCCCTGGGTTTCAGACATTCCTCAGTCAGAAAATATCTAAATCATACAGTTAGGGCACGTCTAGACTATATGGTTTTTTGAAAGATGTGCAAATTTGCATATCTTCTTCTGATCACTTTTTTTCAAAATTAGGTTTTCCCTCCAGGACTCTTGTACATTTCAAAGGCTACACAAGGCCAACCGGGCCTGTGCTCCTTAAAAGGGCTCTTGTACGTTCAGAAGGAACCTCATACACCCTGTGGGGCTTCCACTTTTGAACTGTAGCAAGAGCCTGAGAGGGCTCACTACAGTTCAGAGGCAGAGGCGCCCTTGTTGACTCTTTGAGTAGTCGAAGGAAATCCCATTGACTATTTGACTTAGTTAGGGATGTTAAATTTAGATTAACTATCTTGACTAAGTTTAGAAGGAAAAATAGTTACGATAATATGCAGGCTTGTTGTGTTTTCTGTAGAAGAGGTTAGATATTCTAGGGGGTTTAAAATTTTGAGCTAATTCAAACCCAACCAGTCATGAGCTTGAGAAATAGTGGTAATCTGTTACAACAGTCTACTAGCAGATCTCAGGTAAGTGACTCTCCCTGTAACTGTCTTTTTTTTTTCTCCCCAGTCCGGACTCTTCCTATGAAATGATGATTAGTAAATGGCCATCTGTCTGGGTGAAGATATCTTCCAGCTGGATTGGCATTGTGCTGTATGTATGGACTCTGGTGGCTCCGCTGGTTCTTACAAACCGTGACTTCGACTGATCTGTGCCTCTCCCCTGAAGGCTTCAGTTCATTTCACTACTTGTTGAAACTAACAGTATTCCAGACTAAACTGTAGTTGTAAATTTGTGCTTGCTACCCATGTAATAGACTGTGCCTTGTTCTGCATGATTACCTTTTAGATCATGTCATCTTTCTCTGTGATTACTAGCACATTGATTTTTCCTCAGAGCATTTTAGGGTTAGTGCTATGGGTGAGGTAGATGTAAAATTAGTTGGAGTTTGCGTTTCCCTTCCTCCCCCAATGCTGTGAGTAACAAAGGGTGCAAGAACAACTGGCTTAGAACTTTATTAGGCGTTCAAAATAGGAATTATGGGAGGAATTTTAAGCAAGTTGTTTTACTTTTGACAATTTGTGTTGCCTTATATTCAAAGTCAGCCTTCAGAATTGAGCATTTTAGACAAATTAAAAATGTAACATGCACCATTTTGTCTGGTAGAATGAAGTCCCTTGGCACTGTCTTGATTTCACCACATAATATATATTAATGCATTTAGCTTGAGTGATGACTGCAGGTATTGGATCCCACGCTTTCAGAGAAGTTATGTTCTCTTTGGAGCTAGTGTATCAGATGTGGCCTCTTGTTGACAAAAGAACATAAGAGAAAAATATGCTGTGAAGATTTGGTCCCAGGAGTCTGACATGGATTTGCAATAGAAAAAGGACTTTATATATTGCTAAGTTATACTCTTTGTATCTAATCAAGCTGGAAGTTTGCAAGGAAAGTAGCAAGTCTCTTTGCAAAGATTAGTGAATTACTTGCTGGGCTTGACAGCAAATGCTTATGATCAGATGGTTGGAGAGAAGGCAGTGCTGAAGTTACAAAAACATTAAAGTTTAAGTTCAGGATATTGGAACCTGATCTATTTTAATAGCTTGTTACGTGCTGGTGTGTCCATTGCTGGCAATGAACTTGTGCCTGGACCATATGACTGGGCATCAAGTTAACTAGTAGGTCTGATTTAAAGAAAACTTGTATAGTTATGTGCAGTTTTTGAAAATTTTAAATGCTTTTGTGCCTGTTGCTTTGTAACTACATAAATTGTATGTATGTGTACTGTCAGTCTAAACAGAACCCAGAGTGTGTGGCAGCAGCCATCTTCATATTATCTATTGTATGGTGTTTCTACTGATGTCTCATGTAGCCTAATTCTTGTCTCTATTTAAGTTTTTTTAATCTACTCCAATCACATTAGTGTAAACTAATTAAGAATGACTTGTTACTCGGAGCCAGTGAAATTTGGAGGCAGATGAAGTTATGTACAGTCATTTTGAATATATTACCTATCAATAAACTCAGATAAAGACTCATTGGCTTTATTTTGTGATGGCTAAAGCTAGGCAGAGCTTGCAGTCCATACTGAAGACTGACTAGAGTAAAGCAAATGCTACAAAATGGTGTTTAGAAAGTTCATGGAATGTGTGTTTAACAGCTGCCATCTTCTAAAGCCTACCCCCTCATCCTGAAGCAGGGTGGCCCAGCTGTGGTTCCAGAGCCACATGTAGCTCTTCAGAAGTTAATATGTGGCTCCTTATCTAAGTACCAAATCCAGGGCTGGAGGGTCCTCACTGTTCAACCCCCAGCTCTGCTTTAGGTGCTGTCCCCCTCCACCCTTTTTCCCCCTTAGGATCTTGCCACACCCATGCTTCTCTCTCTCTCCCTCCCCCCCCAACTGTCAGGGTGGTCAAATATTGGAATAAATTGCCAAGGGAGGTGGTGGAATCTCCCTCTGGAGATATTTAAGAACAGGTTAGATAGACATCTGTCAGGGATGGTGTAGATGGAGCTTGGTCCTGCCTTGAGGGCGGGACTCTATGACCTCAAGGTCCCTTCCAGTCCTATTATTCTATGAATAAAGCTTTGTATGCAACTTTTTTTAGGGTCTGCTTTTAATTAGATACTAGCAATGTTTAGTGAAATTAACTTGATGCTTAATCAACCCATAAAGGCTTTAGTATATCTTGTCATGCCCCAACATTACTAGGTATTTTATTTCCTTGGTATAGCAGTCCACTACTTTTATATCTCAAAAAACCTCACTGGGCTGCTATGCTTTCTAGCAGCTACTTGTTTGAACAGGATAGTGGCTACTCAATGAGGCTGCAGCATTAGCTTTCTAAATACAGTAACTCACTTCACATCCTACCACTTGACATTACTTTGAGGTTATGGCAGTGCTCCATTACAGAACATACTTGTTTAAAGTTGTGCAATGCTCCCTTAGGTCATGGCTGTGGTTCATGCCTGCAGAAATCTCCAGAAGAGTGGTGACTTTATAATAAAGCATTGCACAACTTGCTGCCAGCCCTTGCTCTCTCCTCTCTTCCCTCCCCCACCCCAAAGCTCCACTAAGCCTCATGGGGCCTGCTGGCACTGCCAACAGCTCCATGGATCAGCACTTACCTCCCCTTGCCTGATGCTCAAGGGCCTTCATAGCTTACCTGCCTCATTGTCTGCAGTGGGCTGGATCTGTGCAGGGTAAGATTGGGGCACCTCTCAGCATGTTTGTAATAGATATGTAAGTAACTCATTTGACTATCCAATAAGCAAAAGTTTATCAGATTTTGGGGGGGAGAGAAGAGGGAAGTGACTAAACTATCAGCAGCAGCAAGGAGGGGAGGGGATGCTGGGAGGAGATAGCTTAAAAGCCAGTTCCCTCCAGCTCCATGGGCAGGGGCACAACAGCACTTCCCCTTTGAAATGTTACAAGAGCCCAAGCTGATACTCCTGTACATTTCAAAGCAGAAGCATGGCTGGAGCATAGCCTCAGCAGGGGGACTCTCCAGTGGCACTAGGCTCCAGGTGGCATTTAAAGCTTTGAAATGCTCAAGAGCCCCTGTTGGGGATCTTGTATATTTCCAAGATAGAAGATGCACTAGTCCTTATCAAATAATTGAATAGTCAATAGCAATCCCATTGCCTATTTAACATCCCTAGCTTGTAAACACCATGGTACCCATTCTCAGTGACGCAGTTGCTTTGTGATCCAGCTTCACTCCTTCCACCTCCCCCTGGAATAGGACCTGACACCAAGTACTAAGACAATTTACATGGCTGCAGCCGGGGGTGCACACAGCAATAGCCCTGCCTTGTTTCATTCCCTTGCCCACTCTGCTGAAGTGTGATAAAAACCACACAGGGCAGCTTGGACAAATTAAGTTTTACAGGGGAAAACAGCTCCTGGTTAGCTGCACCTCCCTGGGTTACTGACCTCTGGGGGCCTTGAGATAAGTTTCCCTATCAGAGCTGCAGTCAAAGTAGCTAAAACTGCAAAGCCAGGCTAAGCTGCCCTTCCCCTCCCACAGGGACACCATTAGGAGCAGCACCTATGTACAGTGATCCCTTTCATGCCTAGAGATTACTGAAGGCATAGCTAAAAAGGCATTTCCCTGTCTGGGGCTTGGCTCAGAAGGAGGGCAGGATATATATCTACTTTCAGTGTGTTGCCAAGGGTCATCAATCATGTGCAGATGGATCTATTCTATTCCTAGAACTAGCTGCAGCACAAGTGGCACACCTTGCCTTCTTCCATCTTTCTCCATGCCAGTTGCACTAGGGGACCATGCTACTAGACATCCTAAGAAAGACCATGATCACACAGGTGGCATCTGGCTGTCATGCCCACAGTCACTGCTGGGGCAGCTCTCTCAGGTAGGTACACACAGTTCAGCTAAGGAGCTGCACTGCTAGTCCTGCATGCACCCATTTTCTTCACTATTGCATTTTAAAACTGTTTGAAACATACTGGTTTTATATAGGGCTTTGGGCAAAACCATTTCCTTGAAACTTAACTCCTCCCCTGTATATTAAGCCTTAAGGCAAAACTGGATTTGTTCAACAATGATTTGCTTAAAAGTTGCATTTTTCACTAAAGAGGCACTGTACCTTTTATAAAGTCTACTGATGAAAATCTACTCAGTGCCATGGCTAGCTTAAGTCAGCTGACACAGTCAGGCTGAAAAATTGCTCTATACATGGTCAAAGCCCCAGCCTGAGCTCTAGTACCCTACATGTGGAAGCTTCCAGAGTACTGGCTCTAGCCCAAGCATCTACACAGCAAATCTAGTAACCCAGCCTAGTTTGTTATGCTACTGTACATTTGCACAGAGCCACACTACTAATTTGTAGGCTTAAGGTAATAGGTTAACTGTTTATACAGTTAGCCAATAAGCTTGAACTGTGTTACTGGGACTAGTTAGATGCTGGCTGCCACCTTACATTGCAGGCTCTGTATCTGAAAGGACCCAATACACACCAGGACTCAGTTGCTGCCTCCAATAGTATATGTCTGTCAGAAGCTAAGTTCCTTGCTAGACAGCTCCCTCAGCTACATCTCTGGCCCTACATGGACCCAGCAAGGAGTGGCACCTCTATGCAGCAAATACTTTTAAACAGTGATACAGAGATAGCTTGGGAACCAGATTTCATACTGTTTTATCAAGACATCCCATCTATTATTACTATATGAGCATGTTAGTGTATTAAAGAGTACATAGCTCATGAAATCTGCCATCTTGAAATTTATCCCAAATTACTAGTTTTAAAAGTTGTTTCTAAAATTAAGAGGCTGCATCTTTTGCAGCAATGCTAGGATGAATTAAAAGGGCTACCCTCTTGAGACTGTTGTACTAGAAACAATAGTAGTCTAACTTTAGGAACAGCATTATTTTTCAAGTACCACAGTGATTTGAAAAGGTATTCTAAGCTTCACTGACCCATGGAGTTAATGTAAAATTACACCCCTAACAAGTCACAGCTAGATAATTTATTTTATCAAAGTGGATGGTTCAGATTACTAGTACTCATGCATGCAAGTAGCTCCATTCTTAATAAATAAAAGCCTCAATTTCTTTCCTTTGTAATGTATAAATGATTGATCACTCTGAAGAACTAAGGCAGGACCAAACAGTCAAGTAGGTTAACAGGCACTTTGTTCCCAGTTCAACCAGAAAAAACACCCCACAAAACTCAAGTCAAGGCCTTGGTCCTTCCTTCTCTTCACCCTCATCCTCTCCCCCCCCCCCCCCCCATTTTAAAACAGTTTGTAAAAAATAGAAAACAAATACAGAAATCACTGACTTCTACACAGTACAGTTATTCTAATCAATCGTACATAGAACCAAAAAATAACAAAGGTTACTGTGAAATTAAATTACTGGGATTTTTGTAATATCTATAAATACCAAATATTTGTCAGCAATTACATTGATAACTTGTACGTAACTTGGTATATGCAATTATATCCATGTCATTTGTATAACAACTATTTAAACAGGTCTTTGAATTTGTGTTTGTGTGGAGAAAGGTGTAAGAGACTCAAGATTAGCTGGTTATACTAACCAAAGTATTTACCAAAAAGCCAAGGAGGATACCAAATGATATCCTAAATAAATAGTTTGTTTTGATGAATATATACAGAGTTCCTGCCCGGTTAGTTATCCAGGAATGGCATATCTGTGTCCATGGGTGCAGGAGCAAGTTCACATAAATAAAACAGTGTGGCTTCACTTGCTTCCGCCTCAGTCAGTGGCTCTAGTCGCACTAATTTGCTTTGAGTTGGTTCAGGGTCTAGGCTGCTTTCTAGAAGCTCATCCACTTCTAAGGGTTTGTCTAGGGAGGACGTAGTTTCAGACATGGAGTTTCCACCTTCAACAGTTGCACCTGGACTCCCATCAAGGAATGCAAGGAGTGGAAAGGCAGTATACTGAATGAGCTGTTTATCTATAAAAGAAAAACAATACTTCAGAAAGTCACTAATAGTTTATATACACAGTCCTACTACCAAACATTATTGCACTTTTTACAAAGCAAGCCACATTATAAACATATTTTCAACTAAGTATTGTTAAAATTGGGCACACTACTGAAGTGTTGCAAGGAACTAAAATTTATTATTCAGAGTTGCCGGACATAACACTTCATCAGTTTCTCTTTGCATCTGGTACAATGAAAATTCTTGAGTTTTTTATTTTGG